TGCCCAGGGTGTGGGCCTGATCCCCAGTGGGGGGCAGGCAGGAGGCGATCAATCTATGTTCTCTCTCATCCATGTTTCTGTCTCTCCCCCTCTGCCTTCCTCTCTCTAAAATCAATGAAGAAAAGGACACATTGTAAACAAAAGGATCTCCAAGTGGAGTCAGCCATGTCCAAGGCCCACGGCAGGGTTCATGTCATATTTTCATCTCAGGACCTTTGAGAGGGGACTTTGCTAGCACGGGAGCCGTGTGCATTGGGGTGACTGAGCGGTGCTGAGCCTGCTCTGAGGCCCCAACACTGCGTCCTTCTGGGACCCCCAGTCTGAGGAGTGTAGGGAACCCCACGGCGGGGCCTGGTTTACACACCGTCTCCATGGTGACACGTGAACGACCACCCCCAAGTGCTGACCAGTGTGCGCACTGCTGTCTGGACCTTCACCCCGTGAACCTGAGAGGGAAGAATAGCGCCCGGACACAGCCGCTGTGACAGTCTCTGGAGAGACGGAACACCCGGGGAGGAACCCCAGGGCTCTACGCCTGCCTCCTGCGTGGCCTGCGCACCTGTGGGCGCGGCCTGGAGGACGTCGGTCCTGAGCTACGGCTGGAACCAGCCCGGGGCTAGCAGCCTGCTGCAGACAAGGCCTCCTGCAGGACCCCGGGGACCACCCCGCCCCCACGGACGAGGCCTCCTGCAGGACCCAGGGATCATCCCGCCCCCACGGACGAGGCCTCCTGCAGGACCCCGGGGACCACCCCGCCCCCACGGACACGGCCTCCTGCAGGACCCCGGGACCACCCCGCCCCCACGGACACGGCCTCCTGCAGGACCCCGGGACCACCCCACACCCATGGACACGGCCTCCTGCAGGACCTCGGGGACCACCCCACACCCATGGACACGGCCTCCTTCAGGACCTCGGGGACCACCCCGCCCCCACGGACACGGCCTCCTGCAGGACCTCGGGGACCACCCCGCCCCCACGGACACGGCCTCCTGCAGGACCCCGGGGACCACCCCGCCCCCACGGACAAGGCCTCCTGCAGGACCCCGGGGACCACCCCGCCCCCACGGACAAGGCCTCCTGCAGGACCTCGGGGACCACCCCGCCCCCACGGACACGGCCTCCTGCAGGACCTCGGGGACCACCCCGCCCCCACGGACACGGCCTCCTGCAGGACCCCGGGGACCACCCCGCCCCCACGGACAAGGCCTCCTGCAGGACCCCGGGGACCACCCCGCCCCCACGGACAAGGCCTCCTGCAGGACCCCGGGGACCACCCCGCCCCCACGGACAAGGCCTCCTGCAGGACCCCGGGACCACCCCGCCCACACGGACAAGGTCCTCCCCTTCCTTCCTGGGGCCCACCCCTTACTCACACTAGGAAAGTGTTTCCCGCCCGTTCCCCTGTCCCAGCGACGGTCCGTCCGTGCGCCTTTCCTCCTGGGGTGGTCACTGTCCGCCGGCGTGCGTGGGTCCTGGTCGGCGGTCCCAGGAGACCGAGCACCCTGGGGAGCAGCGGGGTGCGCTCGGGGGCTGGGCTCTGATGCTGCCCGCCCGCGGCCTCCTGCACTGGTTTGCGCCTCTCGGTTCGGTGGATTTCGGACCCCTGCCTGTCTGGGCTCTGCGGCGGTGTCCTCCGGGACTCAGCGCGCGGGGTTCGGGGCTCGCTGAGGAACTGGATCCTTTCTAGCTGGGTGCTCTGAGCGCAGGTCTTCCCGGACACCCGTGGGTGTCCTGCACTGCGGCCACCGGCGCAGCCTGGGGTTCTCCGCTCCACGCCACCCCTGCTGGGAATTCAGCGCACTTGCGCGGTTCTGGGGGCGCCCCGGGGGACAGTGCACGAGAGACAGCTACAGCCTGCAGGGGCAGGAGATAACCGCCCACGCCCCACGCGGAGAGCTCCGAGACCACGGCGCCCACCCCCGTCCCTGGCGGGCGGGAGACCAGGCAGGGCGCGGCCCAGCGGCTGGGGAAGAGACGGCTGCCGTCCAGGGCCGCTGGCTCAAACCAGGCAGCCAGGCAGCCAGGCAACGTAGCTGTGATCGTGTGAGCGTGAACGGAAACCTCCAAGCGCAACGCAACACCCGGTGGAACAGGGGCGATGCGCAAAGGAAGACCTGGGCGGGCGAGGCCCCGAGAGCCCTCCGCCAGCAGACCCCGCCTGGAACCCGAAGGTGTTCGCCCGCCCCCGCCGGAGCCCGAGGCCGGGACCGGTCCTGAGCGCAGGACTGGGCTTCCAGCATCTGTCCGGGAGCTCTCAGACCTCACAGACGGACGCACGCCAGCTCTCTCCCGAAGGGGACTCTGAGAATACACCACTCTACGTGGCTTTGCATAACGTCAGGAGTGACCGGCCCTCTGCGAGGTCTCAGAATAATGAAATGGACGGCGACGTTTCCCAAGGACTCCCGTTTGGGAAGAGATTAGACAATATTAAGATTCTTAAGTACTTCATCGTTTTTGCCCCCTTGAGAAATCAGTGAGCATTTTGGTAAACGATTGCAGATCCTTTAGTATAAATACACGGCTTCGTCCTGGCCAGTTTGGCTCAGCAGTTAGAGCGTCGGCCCACAAACCAGAGCCCTGGTTCGGTTCCCGCTAAGGGCATGTACCTCGGTTGCAGTTTGTCCCTGGTTCTGGTTATGGTCATGCGGGTGGCAGCCACTCGATCTGTCTCTGTCTTCCTCCCTCTCGCCCTCCTGTTCTCTCTAAAGATACATGCAAAAAAGTCCTTGGGTGAGGATAAAAAAAATAAAATCAAATAACAACACGAGTTCATGTGCAGTGGAAATCCATGTGGGGTGTGGGGCCCATGGATTAGCGTGACGCTTTGCAGTGAGGGCCGAGATGGCGCTGCAAGGACTTAGGGACAGGCCCCCACCGCGGGACGGATAACCAGGAAAGGGGCAACGGAGACCCTCCCGACCACTCGGGTCCCGCGGCGTGGAAAGTGAGAGGACCTGAGGGGCACTGAACACAGAGACCCCACCGGGCGGAGCTGCTCCAGGTCCCCTGCCCCGGTCACAGGACCTGAGGCAGACCTGGTCCTGGAAAAAGAGCGAGAAGCCACCTCAAATATTCGTATGATTCAAGTTGAACGAGATAAGTACTGTAAGATCACTCCCGTTTGGTTTGGTTTACTATGAATTCTTCTGCTCAGTGTGTCCACACCCCACCCCAACAGGATAAAGTGGGTAACACTGTCCACACCCCACCCCCACAGGATAAACTGGGTAACACTGTCCACCCCCCACCCCCACAGGATCAACTGGGTAACACTGTCCACCCCCCACCCCCACAGGATCAACTGGGTAACACTGTCCACCCCCCACCCCCACAGGATAAACTGGGTAACACTGTCCACCCCCCACCCCCACAGGATAAACTGGGTAACACTGTCCACACCCCACCCCCACAGGAGATGTGGTGTTGACTCTGGAGTGTAGAGGGTGGTAAGCAGAGGACACAGGAGCAGGCCACACGCACTGGAGAGCAGAGGACACAGGAGCAGGGCACACGCACTGCTCCGTCCCTGAGCGGAACATCATCCCTGCGGCGGCTGGAAGAGCCCAGCGATGCAGAAGAAGGACCGTCTCCGTGAGGGTCTGAGCCCAGACAAACAGCCATCAGTCACACGCAGTCTGCATTCCTCAGATGGCATTTCTGCTTTAGAAGGAAGGTCACACTTGGACACAAGGGTAACGTAAACCGTGTGCAACACTTTATTCCAGGAATGTAGCCGCCCAGGGAACCGGAGGACGTTACAGGCGGTCAGTGGGGAGAACTGCAAGACTAGGCTCGTGTATAGGCAGCGAACAAGGCGCAAAAGGACGGGTGACGGAGGCCACTGGGCAGCAGCAGGGGGCGCCGGGACACGCAGCACCCAGCACACTGCGAAGACGTGGCGAGGCCTTCCTGCGACGGCGGGTGGACAGGGGCTCCGGCAGTGACGGAGACCACGGGAGGGTGGACGGGGCCTGCGGCAGTGACGGAGACCACGGGAGGGTGGACGGGGCCTGCGGCAGTGACGGAGACCACGGGGAGGGTGGACGGAGACCACGGGAGGGTGGACGGAGACCACGGGAGGGTGGACGGGGCCTGCGGCAGTGACGGAGACCACGGGAGGGTGGACGGAGACCACGGGGAGGGTGCACGGGGGCTCCAGGCAGTGACGGAGACCACGGGGAGGGTGGACGGGGGCTGCAGCAGTGACGGAGACCACAGGGAGGGTGCCCGAGCGAAACACCGTGCCGTTGCCCAGTTCCCTCTGAGGGTCGTTCCCGTTCCCAAAGGCCGGGCACGTCCCCCCGGGGCTAAGGGCAGAGGGTGATGCCCGGTGAACTGTGCGCCAAGGGGACTGTGGGAGCAAGTGCCCCTGTCCTGAAGCCAGGGTTCCCAGCCCAGGGCAGGTCGGGAGCACCCAGGTTCTGCAGGCGCGGGGGACTGTCTGAGGCGCAGGGCTGTCCGATGGGGTGTGGCCCTGGATGGCAGAGACCAGCACAGCGACGCCCACACCAACTCGAGCCAGGGGGTGAGGTCTCGGAGCAGAGTGAGAGGCATTCTGAGGACACAGAGGAGAGTCCATGTTCACTACCAAGGACACGGTGCCCTAAGGGCTGGTCCCCAACCTGGCTCCCCACTCAGAGGACACAGCCCCCAGGGTTACTAGTGCACTGCGTGTTCAGGGCAACACCACCGAGTGCAGCGCAGGACACACAGAGACATATGTACATGCATTATATACACTGAAACATACACATATGTGAGTACGCATTTCACATGCGCCGGTTAGGATGCAAAAAACAGTAAAGACAAATGCAAGTTCATTTGTTCTGGAATGCTTGGAATGAACACATACACACGCGTGCACACACACACACATATCCGCGTACACATGTACATGCATGTGGTGTAAGCGCGGGCACTGTGTCCGGTTAGCATGTGTAGCATGTGGCTCTCCACGGGGCAGTGTTGACCTGCTCTGTGACCTGGGCTCTGACCTGTGACCTGGGCTGTGTGTTCTGCGTCCCTGCAGGTCCAGGCGCGGCTGGCGGAGGCCGTGGAGGAAGGCAGGCGTCCTGAGGCGGTGTAGGGCTGGCAGCGTGGGAGGGGTGTCCTCCTGCGGGCTAGGCCCTGAGCTCCGCCCTGCGGCAGGGCCAGGCCCCAGCAGGCAGACACAGGAAGGGCATGGGCACCTCTCCCTCCGAGGGCGCACCTCGCTCCGAGGGTACAGCTCTCACTCGTAGGGGGGCAACCCGAACAGCTCGGGCTGGAAGTCCTGCAGGGAAGCCAGGACCACGGTGGCCTTTGTCGTCAACTCTCGGTGCAAATGCCCGTCTGGAACCATGACCACCTGCATCCCGGCTGCCAGGGCGGCCTCCACCCCATTGGGCGCATCCTCGAAGACAAGGCACTGCGGGGTGAGGAAGAGAGAGATGAGATGGCCTGGTCCCTCGCCAGACAGCGAGAGGGGGCTGTCGGTCGTCCCGTCTCTGCTGGCCGGCACCGCACACACCGAGAGGGCACGGAGGGGCTCTCCCGCGGGCACCGCGCACACCGAGAGGGCACGGAGGGGCTCCCCCGCGGGCACCGCGCACACCGAGACGGGCACGGACGGGCTCTCCCGCGGGCAACGCGCAACACCGAGACGGGCTACTGGACTGGCTTCTCCGCGGGCAACCGCGCACACCGAGACGGGCACGGACGGGCTCTCCCAGCGGGCACCGCGCACAACCGGAGAGGGCACGGACGGGCTCACCCACAGGCACCGCGCACACCGAGACGGGCACGGACGGGCTCCCCCGCGGGCACCGCGCACACCGAGAACGGCGCACGGAGGGGCTCCTCCCGGCGGACAACCGCGACCACACCGAGACGGGTCACTGAGGGGCTCACCCAACAGGCACCGCGCACACCGAGGAACGGGCACGGACGGGCTCTCCCGCGGGCACCGCGCACACCGAGAGGGCACGGAGGGGCTCTCCCGCGGGCACCGCGCACACCGAGACGGGCACGGAGGGGCTCTCCCGCGGGCACCGCGCACACCGAGACGGGCACGGACGGGCTCTCCCGCGGGCACCGCGCACACCGAGACGGGCACGGACGGGCTCCCCCGTGGGCACCGCGCACACCGAGACGGGCACGGACGGGCTCCCCCGCGGGCACCGCGCACACCGAGACGGGCACGGAGGGGCTCTCCCGCGGGCACCGCGCACACCGAGACGGGCACGGAGGGGCTCACCCACGGGCACCGCGCACACCGAGACGGGCACGGACGGGCTCCCCCGCGGGCACCGCGCACACCGAGACGGGCACGGACGGGCTCCCCCGCGGGCACCGCGCACACCGAGACGGGCACGGAGGGGCTCCCCCGCGGGCACCGCGCACACCGAGACGGGCACGGAGGGGCTCCCCCGCGGGCACCGCGCACACCGAGACGGGCACGGAGGGGCTCCCCCGCGGGCACCGCGCACACTGAGACGGGGATGGGCACCGCGCACATTTACTGAAATAATAAACATTTAAGTAATGTAAAAAAGACTAATTTTACATATATTTTCTCTTATTAATTAGTACTTTTGTTTATATTATTCATCCATTCACCATGTATCCATCCATGCATCCATTCATCCACCCACCCACCCACCCTCCCATCCATCCACCCACCCACCCATGCATGCAAACATCTACCCATGCATCCATCCATCCATGCATCTATCCATCCATGCATACATTCATCCATCCAACCCACCCACCCGCCCACCCACTCATCCATCCACCCACCCATCCATCCACCCACCCATCCATCCACCAACCCACCATGCATGCAAACATCTACCCATGCATGCATCCATCCACACACTCAAACATCTATCCATCTATCCATCCATCTATGCATCCATCCACCCATGCACACAAACATCTATCCATCTATCCATGCATCCACACATGCATGCAAACATCTATCCATCCATCCATGCATGTTTGTGTGCATGTATCCATCCATCTATGCATCCATCCACCCCCGCACACAAACATCTATCCATCCATCCATTCTTCCAACTGGCCATCCACCCACTCACCTGGACATGCATCATCTCTATCAACTCTCTCTCCCTCCCCCTCCTCCCTTCTTCCCTCCTGACACCTGAGGCAGACATGCAGGCCACCCAGGATGTGCTCAGGCCGCCCGGCGGCTCCCCTGTGACTAGTGCTTAGTGTGGGCCCCCTCAGGCTTCCCCTTGTCATAAAATGGCTGTGGAGAGTAATTCAGTCACGAGATTTGAATCAGCCCGTGTAGTGCTGCGTCTAGGAACTCACTGTCATCCCTGACTCCTGGGGCCGAGCTCCTAAAGCCCTTGGAATTTATTGAGACTCTGTTGTTGTTCATAACAAGCCCCTTGCAAGCAGACCAGAGTCTACAATAACTCCGTGGGCTGGCCAGAACGAAGTGGCCTGGGTGCTCCCTGGCTGGTGTCTGAGCAGGCCCAGCGTTGGGGCTGCACCCTGGACCCGTGGGTCTGTGCTAACTCTAGGCCCTGGTGCCAGAGCTAAAGTGATCTGCGGGACGCCCGGCTGGGTCGGAGAATCAGAGAACAACCCACGAGTGACATGTTTCAACCTGCTTTCGTGGGTCCTGCGTGGTAGGTTGGGCCATGGACCGAAAAGAGCAGATCATTCAAAAGTGCCCCCAGCACCCACCTAAGTCCCCACCAAGCCAGGTCCGCACGCAGCACCCCAGGCGGATGACCCCACCCACTTGAGGACGCAGGCAGGTCACCAGCAGGAGCCCGGCAGGGTGTACCCCGCTGTCCTAGAACCTGCACCCGCACAGACTGGAGGCCCAGCCTTCTTCTCGGCCCTCACAGCGCCTGAGACTTTACGGCACAGAACCGCCCTGTCACCTCCCCACACGCTCTTCCGGGCACACACACCCGCCCATCTCCCGGACACCCTGGAGCAGCCCAGAGGGACAGGGATCTGCCGCGCAGGGCCCACCGCAGCCACCTCCCAGGCACACATACCCCCGCCCATCTACTGGACACCATGGAGCAGCCCCCAGGACGCGGATCTGCCGCACAGAGCCCACCGCAGCTGCCTCCCAGGCACACATACCCCCGCCCATCTCCTGGACACCCTGGAGCAGCCCAGAGGGACAGGGATCTGCCGCACAGAGCCCACCGCAGCCGCCTCCCAGGCACACATACCCCCGCCCATCTCCTGGACACCCTGGAGCAGCCCAGAGGGACAGGGATCTGCCGCGCAGGGCCCACCGCAGCCACCTCCCAGGCACACATACCCCCGCCCATCTCCTGGACACCCTGGAGCAGCCCAGAGGGACAGGGATCTGCTGCACAGAGCCCACCGCAGCCGCCTCCCAGGCACACATACCCCCGCCCATCTCCTGGACACCCTGGAGCAGCCCAGAGGGACAGGGATCTGCCGCACAGAGCCCACCGCAGCTGCCTCCCAGGCACACATACCCCCGCCCATCTACTGGACACCCTGGAGCAGCCCAGAGGGACAGGGATCTGCCGCACAGAGCCCACCGCAGCCGCCTCCCTGGCACACACACCGCGCCCATCTCCCGGACACCCTGGAGCAGCCCAGAGGGACAGGGATCTGCCGCACAGGGCCCACCGCAGCCACCTCCCAGGCACACATACCCCCGCCCATCTCCTGGACACCCTGGAGCAGCCCAGAGGGACAGGGATCTGCCGCGCAGGGCCCACCGCAGCCACCTCCCAGGCACACATACCCCCGCCCATCTCCCGGACACCCTGGAGCAGCCCAGAGGGAAGGGATCTGCCGCACAGGGCCCACCGCAGCCACCTCCCAGGCACACATACCCCCGCCCATCTACTGGACACCATGGAGCAGCCCCCAGGACGCGGATCTGCCGCACAGAGCCCACCGCAGCTGCCTCCCGGGCACACGCACCCCGCCCATCTCCCGGACACCCTGGAGCAGCCCAGAGGGACAGGGATCTGCCGCACAGGGCCCACCGCAGCCACCTCCCAGGCACACATACCCCCGCCCATCTCCCGGACACCATGGAGCAGCCCCCAGGACGCGGATCTGCCGCACAGGGCCCACCGCAGCTGCCTCCCAGGCACACACACCCCGCCCATCTCCCGGACACCCTGGAGCAGCCCAGAGGGACAGGGATCTGCCACGCAGGGCCCACCGCAGCCGCCTCCAAGGCAGGAACGGACAGAACGGGACCTTTGGTGACGGGGAGCGCAGGGCACCGCGGACACCCTCTGAGGTCAGGACGCAGGCTGGCGCACGGGGCGAGGCGCGGTCGGTGAGCGTGGCCAGCACGTCCGCACTGCAGGGACACCCCCAGGGCTGCTCTTACAGACAGGTGCTGCGGCCCCATCACTGCACACCCGAGCGTCAGGCCCCGTGCGGCGGTCCAACCTGAGCTGTCTCAGGGATGTGCCGGCCTCCCGATTTCGGGGTGTCACTGTCCTGGTGACTGGGGCCGCTCTGCTCCCCAACAACAAACACGATGTCACCGAGCACACGGGAGCTCACTGCCCTCCCCCAGGTCTCCAGGCGCCCTGCAAAGTCCCTGCTCTGCCTGAACACAAACATGTCCTACCAGCGAGCCCGGGCCGCCCTCCCCGCCGCGGCCCGTACCTTGTCCACAGGCGCGGGAGGGGAGAACCTCCGCGCACAGGCCAGGAAGATGTCTGGATCCGGCTTGCCCTTGCTCACTTCAGGGTCGTCCCCCAGAACGATGTGGTCGAACAGAGCGAAGAACTCCTTGTGCCTGCTGGTCTTCATCTGGAAGGACGCCGAGCCGGAGCTGGTGGCCACGGCCATGGGCACCTTCCGCTCTCGCAGATGCTGGATCAGCCTTTCCACCCCTGGGGAGCACAAGGGACAGGCTCGGTGGGCTGGACAGGCCGCAGCCTCACGGGACAGCCCCGCAGCGGGCTCGGAGGCCCCGGGCGTCCGCCTCTTCCCAGGGACAGTCTGATCGGACACACCCCGCGGTGGACGGCGACCAGCCCCACAGTGCCCCCCTGGAAACGGAACTCAGCAAAGCGGCCAGGCCTGCGCTCTCCCAAAGGAACAGAGCACCACGGTTCAGCTGAAAGACTATTTCGGTCACAAGTGTTTTCATCCACTGCCGCAGGCAAAGTCCCTGTCCTCTCTGAGGCCACAGCAAAGGTGGACACAGTCCTTTTGTCAGACACGTGAACCTTTGGGAAGGGACAGGTGCTCTGCTGGACACTTCCGAGCAGAACCCTAAGAGATGCTCAGAGCTGGGGGCGGGGGGCTCAACTCCACACCTGGACACAGGGAGGCTCCTTAGAGAACAAAGTCAAGCCGAGCCTCTGCTGCGTGGAAAATTCACACTGCCCAGTGTCCAATCAGGAATCGCTGCACCTGCACAGAAGCCGACAAACAGACCCGACGCCAGGAGACACGTGGGCAGCACAAATGCAGGCAGGATAGAATTACCAGGTGATGACCTTCCATAACAGCTTCATAAACATTCTAAACACGCCCGCCTCAGACACTGTCGGCGTGGAGAAGATAACACAACAGCATGAGTGGATGCAACGATGCGCTGCCTACGAGACGCCTAGGACAGACACAAACACTCAGGTTAAAACGAAAGGCTGAACCCTGCTGTTATGTAACCACTGCCCCCGGAGGGTCCGGGTGGTGTAGGAGTAGCAGCCAAGTGGGTTTTACAAGAATGAACGACTCTTATTGGAGATGATGCCCCATCGTGACCATTGGTCAGTGCACCAACAGGACAGAAGGACTTCAGTGCCCATCATAGACAACAGCTTCAAGCTCCGCAGGCGAAACCGCACAGACCCGAGTGGAGAGAGACACAGATCAGGCACATTTCAAACTCCACTCTCAGAAATCCCTAGGACAGGCCCACAGGAGACAGCGGAAGGAACTGCGGACCCCACCACCGCCGTCAGACCACAGAACGGAACCGGCTCCGTCTACCCACTTTTCCGACCACAGCAGAGGGCACGTCATTCCAAGGACGCGTGGAACATTCAACGAGACACAGCTTGAGGCCATAAGGTCTGGAACAAGACTTTACAAGAATTGAAATCACACAAAATATGTCCCCTTATCACACTGGAATTCAAATAGACATCAGTAACGGGAAGGTATTTGGACATTCACAAATGTCTGGATTTTAAACAACACGCTTGTTTGTAAGGCACATGTCAAAGATGACATCACAACAGGAAATTTGACATCTGGGAGGGATCAGTTTGATGCGATCAACAGGGTGGGGCCCCTGTGATGAGGTTGGTGCCCTATGAAGAGGAGTAGCCACCAGAGCTGTCCCCACCCTGTGAAGGCACAGTGATAGCAGCCATCAAGTGCCAGGAAGGGAACCCTCACCAGGACCTGGCGGTGCTAACACCCCTGTAGATGTCAACCTCAGGACTGCGTCTGTTTCAAGCTGCCCCAGGACTGCGCCTGTTTCAAGCTGCCCCAGGACTGCGTCTGTTTCAAGCTGCCCCAGGACTGAGCCCGTTTCAAGCTGCCCCAGGACTGCGCCCGTTTCAAGCTGCCCCAGGACTGCGCCCGTTTCAAGCTGCCCCAGGACTGCGCCCGTTTCAAGCTGCCCCAGGACTGCGCCCGTTTCAAGCTGCCCCAGGACTGCGCCTGTTTCAAGCTGCCCCAGGACTGCGTCTGTTTCAAGCTGCCCCAGGTCTGTGCCTGCTTCAAGCTGCCCCAGGACTGCATCTGTTTCAAGCTGCCCCAGGACTGCGTCTGTTTCAAGCCGCCCAGTCTGTGGTTTTGGTACAGCAGCCCAGCACAGACAGTGAAGCTCGCGAAAGCATCACCACAGGATCCGCACTGAAGCCCTTGGAAGTACTACAGTCAGCCTCCCCTTCATTAACCTGGGCAGGGAGGGCCGTGCCCTTCGACTGCACCCTCAGGTGCTGACAGCCAGGTGAGCCCGAAGCAAAGGGCTCCTCACCACGTCACATTTACACACGGTCACCCGACAGGGACGCCCCCTTGCCAGTGCGGCCTCCACGGAGCACTGCCGCGCTGCCCCTGGGTACAGTGAGTGGGTGTGCCCTGCTCCCGCACACTCACGCCACAGGGACCGCAGAGAGTGAGCTTGTTTGGAAACAGGGTCTTTGCGGGTGTCCTTAGCTGAGGACCTGGAGATGCGGCCATCCTGGACGTACAGGGGGACCCTCAGGGCAGTGACTAGCGTCCACATGAGGAGAGGACACAGAAACCCGAGAAAGCCGGCCGCAGGAAGAGAGATGCGGGTTCGAGGGACGCAGCCGTGAGCCCAGGGACACCTGCAGCCCGGAGCCAGGGGGCGGGGAGGAGCCCACCTTCGTGCCAGCCTGGGGCCCCGGGGGGAGCCTGAAAGAAAAGGACTGGTTCCCTGCACGACCCTTCTGCTGGGGTCCTGGCAGGGCCGGTGCGCGCGTCTTGGGTACAGGTGAGCGTGTCCCTGCACAGGAGTGGCCAGCACCTCGCGGGCGGTGGTGGGACGCGGGGCAGGCGGAGCGTCCGCAGGGGCAGAGGGTCCCGGCATCTCCAGGGGTCTCTGCACCCTCCATGCTCCTGGTCCCTGGACAGCTGACGTCTCTCTGCTGCAGTTTATACACAGAAGAAAGACCTGTGTTCTGCCTGGGCGTTCTCCATCACAACGGAAAAGACGCCTCTTTTCTGAATATGATGAAACCTGTGGATGACCTACAATTTACATTTCCCCATGACGTCACATAGTACACGCCTATACCACACCATGGTTAAAGGATGTTCCACCCGGACATGCATGGAGAGAAGGCTCCAGAGCACTGAGCCATCCGCTGCCACCAAGAGGCTCAGTCAGGCCCATGTGTCAGCCTCCACTCTCATGCCTGATGGCTCAGGACAGACACACCACATCCTAATAGGACAGACACACCGCCTCCCATCAGGGACTGCTTTCCTGGGATTGGCCCAGGAGGGACACGCCCCGCCTCCTATCAGGGACTGCTTCCCTGGGGATTGGCCCAGGAGGGACACGCCCCGCCTCCTATCAGGGACTGCTTCCCTGGGGATTGGCCCAGGAGGGACACGCCCCGCCTCCTATCAGGGACTGCTTTCCTGGGATTGGCCCAGGAGGGACACGCCCCGCCTCCTATCAGGGACTGCTTCCCTGGGGATTGGCCCAGGAGGGATATGCCCCGCCTCCTATCAGGGACTGCTTCCCTGGGGATTGGCCCAGGAGGTGGTGTTGAATTGACACACCCTCTCTAATGTCACCTTTTTTTCTAAGGAGGTCAAGGTGACTTCCACAGTCTGAAATACCCAACAGGAAGGCAGCTCCAGAAAGGGAAGAAAGGAACGTGGAGGATGATGGCTCATGCACAGTGTAGCTCCGGGAACAAAGCGAAGTGCACTGGACAGGCACCTGGACCGAGAAGGACAGTGGGCGCTCTTCTGGTGTTATGGCGGCTTTCTGTTCAGACTCCTGGAGTCTTCCCACGTTGTGTCCACCTCCCAGTTACGTGTGTGGTGTGTGGAAATGACCTCAGGTTTCAGAGGCTGGCTTTGGAATGACGGAAAAGCGCTCACTCTCATCTGTAAGACCAGAAGAAGCTTAGTGAGACACACGTCTTATGCTAAAATGCAAGGTGCAGCCCACGCAAAGACTTCCCCAGCTCCTTCGTCCCTCTGCTGGGGATCAGGTCCGGAAGGGGTGAAGAAAGAGGTGTCGTCCCGGGAAGTTCTGCAGGACGAACCTCTCTGGGAAGAACTCACTCCTGGCTCCCTCCTAAGGGGGGTTTCGGGTTTAATTATTGTGTGTGGTCATCTATAATTGGCAGCTTTCTTGACTGACATCCACGCAGGACCCTGCACTGACTGGAACAGCAGGTGCATTTCATACCACAGACTGGTTAGCATCACACCCAAACTGCCGGACCAGCTGGATAAGGTGTCCTCTTTCTTGCAACTGCAGCGGAGTATAGGTCAACAAGTGTCTTAGACTACAGGACACACATTCTAGGGGGAGAACCCCGTGGAAGGCATGGGAAGATGAGAAAGGGAAAGGTCATTTGCCTGTGGGATATGTTATGGGCGCTTTGTGTGTGTGAAGTCATGAGACTCCAGGTCACAGAGTAACCTGGGCAAATCTTCAGACAGACTAAGATAATAAAGACCGAACACTCAAATAACCAAAATCGGAAGTGAAAGGGGAAACATGAAAGGGCCACAAAAACTTTAAAAAAATTAAAGGAGAATATGAAAAAGGCATATGCCGAGAAATCGGACAGCCCAGAAGAAATGGATACATTGTAGAAACATACGACTTATCAAGGTCACATCTAGACTACAGAGAAAGCCTGAGCAGACCTACAACGAGTGAAGAGCTTGGATCAGTAATCGGAAAAGTCCACCACCAGATGGCTTCACTGGAGAATTCCACCAAATACTTAAAGAACAGTTTACACCAATATCCCTCAAGCGCTTCCAAAAAACTGAAGAGAAGGGCACACTCCCACACGCGTTCTGTGAGGCCAGTGTTACCCTGATACCAAGCCCAGATGTAGGCACTACAAGAAAAGGACACTACAGATCAACGCCTCTGACGGTTACGGGTGGAAAAATACACAACAAAATACGAACAAAATGAGCCCAGCAGCTCATCCAAAGGACCATCCACCACGAGCAAGCAGGATCTACTCCTGGAATGCAAGGATGGTTCAACCGGGAAACTCCGTGACATGCCACATTAACACAATGAGGGGAGAAGGCTGTATGACCACCCCCAACCAATGCAGGGAGAGCATCTGAGGAAACTGAACAACCCTCCTGACATAAACATTCAAGCTGGGAGGAGAAGAAAACTACGTCGACGTAACAAAGGCCAGGTATGAAAAGCCCACAGCCAATGTCAGACTCAGTAGAAAAAGGCTGAAAGGTTTTCCTCTAAGATGAGAAACAGAATAACAATGCCTTCTCTTGTCACTTCTATTTAACATGGTACTGAAAGTCCTAGCCAGAGCAATTAGGCAAGAAAAACAAACAAAGAAAGACATCGAAACTGGAAAGCAAGAAGTAAAGTTATTTCTGCTCACAGATGACACGGTCTTATAAGCAGAAAACCCTAAAGATTCCACACACACAAAAAGTGTGGGAATGAGTAAGCAAATCCAGCAATATTGCAGAATACAAAAACATCAGTTGCATTTCTACATGCTACCAATGAACAATCTGAAAAGAACGTAAAATAATTCCATTCACGATAGCATCAAAAAGGAATAAACTTAACCCAGGAGGTGAGAGACGAGTATACTTAAACTGGAAAGCATTGCTAGTTAAAGAAGATACAAATAAAATGGAAAAACATCCCTTGTTCGTGGATTGCAAGAGCTGGTATTGTTAAGTCCATCTGAAAATGTACAGGAACTCTCAAGGGACCCTGAATAGCTAGAACAATACTGAAAAAGAACGAAGTTGGAGGGTTCACACTTTCTGATTTTAAAACACATTCAAAGCTACAGAGAACAAAGCAGCATAAAGACAGACATACAGACCAACCGAACAGAGAGCCCAGAAATGAATCCCTCCATCGATGGTGAACGATATTCGACAAGGGAGCGAGAGCATGCAAGTATAAGAGGACGCCTCTTCAACCAACTGTGCTGGGAAATCCAGGTACTGATGGCAAAAGAATGTGGTTGGACCCTTACCTCCTACCATACACAGAAAGGAATTTAAAATGGGTGAAAGACCTGGACTTAAACTCGAAAACTATGAAATCCCTAAAGGAAAACATAGGGAGAAAGAAAGCTTCACGGTGGTGGATTTTGTCACGGTGTCTTAGACACGACAGTAAGAACACAGGCAAGAGCAAAAACACCCACATGGACCCACATTAAACGTGGAGTTTGGGGCATCAAAGGGCACTGAACAGAGTGAACAGGCAGCCTATGAAACTGAAGAAAAGACTTTCAAATTATATCTGGTATAGGCTTTACATCCAGACTATATAAACAGTAGGCTTTACATCCAGACTATATAAACAGTCCTAGAATTCAACAAGGAAGAAAACAACAACCCTATTTTTTTTTTTCCTTTATTGATGTTAGAGAGGGAGGAAGGGAGAGGGAAAGATAGAAACATGGATGAGAGAGAACATGGACTGGCCGCCTCCTGCACGCCCCCCACTGGGGATGGGCCCACAACCTGGGCATGTGCCCTGACCGGGAATCGAACCGGCGACCTCTTGGTGCAAGGATCCATGTTCAATAACTGGGCCACACCAGCTCGGCAGAACCACAACCCTATTTTTTTAAAAAATTCAGCAAAGGACTGGAACAGACACGTCTCCAAGGAAGACAAACAGCGGGCCAACAGCACACAGAACAATGTTTCAGATTGTTAATAATCAGAGACACCCAAATGCAAACCACAGTGAGAAACCCCTTTACATGCATTAGGACACCACCCGAAAAACACAGACAGTGAAGGTGCTACTGAGCACGCGAGCGGACCGGAGCCCAGGGCACGGCCGGACAGGAGATGAAATGGTGCGCCCACAGTGGAAGGGGGGGCCACGGTCCCTCGCAAGATTGAAAGTACCCTGACCTGTAACCCACAAGCCCGCTTCTGCAGATACACTCAGAACCGAGAGCAGTCGCAGAGAGGCGTCCGCACTCCCATGCCCAGAGCAGCGTTCTCGCAGCAAGCAGGGCGTGGAAACTGCTCACGGGTCTCTCCGCAGACGAACGGATGAAGAAAACGTGGTCAACCCGGCCAGCGGACATACTTCAGCGGCGGAAAGGGAGAACGTTCCGACACCTGCTACGACACGGACGAAGCGGGAGGACATGCTGCTCAGGGAGGAGCCAGCACAGAACAGATACGGCATCACCCACTCCTGCTCCTACGAGGCAACTAGGTATCTATGTGGCAGATATAAACATCGATTCAGAAGCCGCCGCGATTCAGCCGTACGTGTTCAATCCAAAGTCACTGCTACAATGGCACAGTGTTTCTCCGCTCTCACCAGGACTTCCAAAGACTGAGTATTCGCTTTCCTCCCTGGAAGAATCGTAAACTAGTATTCCCTTTTAAGCATCTTTGGGCTTTGTCCTCTAGAACATTCTTGACCTTCTCACTCTTAGCAAGAAACAGCGGGCAATCCTGATCGATCTGCAGTTAACAAGCCCCGGGGGACAACAGTCAACGCTCCGTCCGTGGAAAACAGCAAAGAGAGGGCAAACACACAGCAACAGAACCATTAAACATAAATCATGCCTCTCACTTTAAAAAAGTGAAATAAAAGCTTCTTTGGGGAGATGGAGCTGCTTGTTCATCCTCCATCAGCTGGAGTTCAAGTTGTTGCTGAAACATTCATCCTGTACCCAAGGGAAAAGAGACAGGCCAAGCCACGCCCTGAAGCCACACCCTGAGCGACTCTGTCAGGCAGGCCATCTTCATGGAACAAAGTCGGAATGCTTTCGGACCCCAGGGCCCAGGGAAAGCCAGGCGGAGGGTTTTAAGAAGCCTGCACAGGGCAGAATGGAGCCGCAGCGTAGAACAGCGCCAGGCGTCTGTGTGTGGAGCCCCTGGGAGTCTGAACAAAGACCACTGTGGCCCTGGCCGGTTTGGCTCAGCGGTTAGAGCGTCAGCCTGCAGACCAGAGAGTCCTGGGTTCGGTTCCCGCTAAGGGCATGTACCGCAGTGGCAGTTTGTCCCCAGCCAGTTGGGGTCATGTGGGTGGTAACCAGTGGATGTTTCTCTCTCTCTTCCCCCCTCATTCCCTCCCACTGTATCTGAAGATAAATGCAACCATGTTCTCGGGTGAGGATGAGAATAAAAGAGGAGCACTGTGCACCTGGGGACGGGCACGCGAGCGGACCCTCGGCAGGGCAGGGCGCGCACCTGCGGACGGGCAGGCGAGCGGACCCTCGGCACAGCAGGGTGCGCACCTGGGGACGGGCACGCGAGCGGACCCTCGGCACGGCAGGGCGCGCACCTGGGGACGGGCACGCGAGCGGACCCTCGGCACGGCAGGGCGCGCACCTGCGGACGGGCAGGCGAGCGGACCCTCGGCACAGCAGGGTGCGCACCTGGGGACGGGCACGCGAGCGGACCCTCGGCACAGCAGGGTGCGCACCTAGGGACGGGCACGCGAGCGGACCCTCGGCAGGGCAGGGCGCGCACCTGCGGACGGGCAGGCGAGCGGACCCTCGGCACAGCAGGGTGCGCACCTGGGGACGGGCACGCGAGCGGACCCTCGGCACGGCAGGGCGCGCACCTGGGGACGGGCAGGCGAGCGGACCCTCGGCACGGCAGGGCGCGCACCTGCGGACGGGCAGGCGAGCGGACCCTCGGCACAGCAGGGTGCGCACCTGGGGACGGGCACGCGAGCGGACCCTCGGCACGGCAGGGCGTGCACCTGGGGACGGGCACGCGAGCGGACCCTCGGCACGGCAGGGCGCGCACCTGCAGACGGGCACGCGAGCGGACCCTCGGCACGGCAGGGCGCGCACCTGCGGACGGGCACGCGAGCGGACCCTCGGCACAGCAGGGCGCGCACCTGCGGACGGGCACGCGAGCGGACCCTCAGCACGGCAGGGCGCGCACCTGGGGACGGGCACGCGAGCAGACCCTCGGCACGGCAGGGCACGCACCTGGCATGAGCGCGGCCGTGGGGAACAGGTCCTGCAGCCTCTCCTGGCTTTCCTCCAGCAGCGCCTCCTTGGACATGGGCAGCTGCAGGGTGTCGATGATGATCTGGGCCGCCTCCAGGGCCTTCTTGCCCATCACGAGGGACTTGACATCCCAGGAGTAGGTCTTCCCGTAGCGGCCACATATTTCCTGGAACACCACCGAGTAGAGCCGTTCGGTGTCTGCAGAAACAGGGGGAGATGGAGATGCACAGGTGTTAGGGGTTGCCACGGGAACAGTACCTCCAGCAGTGACTCTCCACACACATACATCACACACACACACGCACATTCGGTGCAGGTCACGCTCACAGAAGAAAGCCTTCATAGACACCTAGGGACACGGCGGGGACATCTGCAGGCCATCCACACAAAGCAACCTCTGGGCACCTGCTCTGTTCGCTGGACAGTCGTTGGGGCTCTGATGTGCAGTTAAAAGTTGAAGTGAAAACCCCTAGGTTCCGATCATGGCCTGACCTTCCTGGTGAGGTGACCAGCCCCATGCAGAACCCGTCCGCCCCCCACCAAAGTCTCGGTGCAGAACAAAGATGGCCCGGTCACACAGGGGGCCCCAGGACATGTCGGCGTGCTGTCAGCAAGCAGGGCCACAGACCAGACGCAGGGACACAGGCTCCCGCTGTCTCATCACTGAGGAGCCGCAGGGCTCCAGGCCCAGGGCAGAGACAACATCCATTCCCTGTGCTCTCCCAGGGCCCTGTGAGCAGTGCTGCAGGGCCGCCCTCGGGGTCAGATCCCGGCGGGCACTTCCAGGTCCAGTCCCAGGGAACCGAGGAAACCCAGCTGGTCCTGCTTTTCAGGGGGCAGGGGGCGAACAGGAGGCAGTACTGATGATCACCGTGCTGGTCCCACGAATCTGTGGTGCAGTCAGTGGTACACGGGGCAGTGAGCACTGCTGTGCGTACACTCCCTTATATTTACGCGTGCTGATCCCATGGATCTATGGTGCAGTCAGTGGTACGCGGGGCAGTGAGCACTGCTGTGCGTACACTCCCTTATATTTACGCGTGCTGATCCCATGGATCGATGGTGCAGTCAGTGGTACGCGGGGCAGTGAGCACTGCGGTGCTACACTCCCTTATATTTACGTGTGCTGATCCCACGGATCTGTGGTACAGTCAGTGGTACGCGGGGCAGTGAGCACTGCGGTGCTACACTCCCTTATATTTACGTGTGCTGATCCCACGGATCTGTGGTACAGTCAGTGGTACGCGGGGCAGTGAGCACTGCAGTGCTACACTCCCTTATATTTACGTGTGCTGATCCCACGGATCTGTGGTACAGTCAGTGGTACGCGGGGCAGTGAGCACTGCGGTGCTACACTCCCTTATATTTACGTGTGCTGATCCCACGGATCTGTGGTACAGTCAGTGGTACGCGGGGCAGTGAGCACTGCGGTGCTACACTCCCTTATATTTACGTGTTCCCTCTTTGGACTTGCACTGAGTATGTACGTAGCCGTGTCCGGGCTACCATCACGGTAACTGCACTGCGGACAGTCCCGGGTCCGCACGACCGCAAGGACTCTCCTGCACAAGCCAAGCGCATGCTCACCGACAGAGTGGGACGGGGGCAGCGTGGCCCACGGTGGCTGTCCCCGAGAGCATCAGCCTAGACGGGCCAATACAGAAAGCCGGCCCGTGTCGCAGTGACCTGTTAGAGACAGCGTCTGTGACAGACCGAGACGGAGGACTGTCAAGGGTCTCACAGGCCACCCCTCCAAGACCAGGGAAGCCACACAGGGCCTCGCTTTTTGTGACCACCCGCCCAGCGCCCCCAGTGGACACGCAGGACGGTGGGTGGCCTTGCTGTGGGCTGGCCGTCCCACGCAGACACTCAGCGAGGCCTGGGGGTGACGCTCGGGGCTGTCCTCGCGCGGGTGGAACACGGACGCACAGACCGACAACGTCTGCTCGGCTGCCCTGAGGACACTGACCCGGTGCTAACTGGCCATCGGGCGGCCGTGCGGGTCAGGAAGCGACATGCACAGCGCACTGTAGACGGAAGTGGTCCGGCGCAGCCAATACCGGCTCGGGAAAGGAGCTGAGTGCCTTCAACAGCTGTAACTGCTTTTCCCACAAGGGACAGAAATACAGAAACGGTGTGAAGTCCTCCTCTCTCCACTGAGAATCCGAGCAAGCCCGGCCCCGGAGAGGGACACACATGAAGAACCGGCCACCTGGAAGGGGGCAGAGGCCGGCCGGGCAGTGTGGGTACCGAGGCAGGGCTCTTGGTGAAACAGGTGGACAGAAAGAGGGTGAAAAAAAAAAAAGAGCTCCAAAGACAGGAAAAAAGCTACATTGTTTCAAGTGCTTTAACCAGTGTTTATGGAAGGCTTAACCTGTCCCAGCTGTTCCCTGAGAAGACAGAGCTGCGGGAGCTAATCCTTCGGAGACCACCGACCGCCACTTTCCCCCCTCCACGGAAAGTCACCCGTCCCGAGGCCAAGGGCGGCCCTCAGGAGTCATTCAAGAGCCCTCAGCACCTGCCGCGGATGACGGGCGTGCACGCGGGAGGGTCAGCGTGTGGACGGGAACGAGCCCCCGGCAGCTCACAGGCAGGCGCCTCGCAGCCCTGCCAGGCTGGGGGCTGACCGCGCCCGCCTGCTCAGGAGCGCGAGGTCTGCACTGGCCTCCGGGGCCACATCAGGGGCACCTGGCGTGGCAGGTCACAGGCAGCCACCGGCCACTGGAGGAATGTCCCCGGGAACGCCAGCCTCCCTGCGTCGCAGAGCCCCAGCAGCAGTGGGGTGCCGCCTGCTCGGGGCGCCCGGAGAGCATGGGCACAGACGGGCTGGCACGTGGCCCTGGCCCACGGGCTGGTGCGGTCTCCGTGAGCGGCACCCTGGGTTCCCACACGGGAAAGGCAGAGCGTGCAGGTTACGTTCATCAAACTGTTCCCGAGGCATCGCTGTGCCGGAGGGCGCAGCACAGGCCTGGGCACCTGAGAGCTCACGCACAGAGGTGTTGCGCCCCGACACAGACAAGCGTCACACACTGCGTCACGAACCGCCCGGCCTGTGCAGGAACACACAACCTCGTCCCCGATTCCGCAACCCCCAGACTTCCCGACACTGAAAAGCTCCCCCGTAGCACCAAAGTCTGGACGGCCGGGAGGTGGTTCTACTGATGAATATTTATCGCACTTAGCATGAACATCAGCCAGCTGCCTACAGAAATACCAACGCGTTGGATTACAGGGCTGCCCCGGGCCCCGCCCCCGAACTGTAGGCACCATGGGACATATCTGGTCTAATGCCTATTCAAAGTAATAACCTGAGACGTGTAAATGGAGCTGGCGCCCGGGTTTTGCAGGAGTCCGGAAGCCACACTGATTACGCTCACACCTAGCTCATCATGTGCACCTTGAACAAAGCAATTGAATGCTTTTTCTCGAAAGTTAATATACCTTGAAAACAGTCTTACTTTTATCATTTCCAATTACAAAAGGGGGGTTCCATCTCCAGCTGCTGCGTTCTGAGACAGAGAGGTTAGCGCCTTCGAGAGATGAAATGCAATCCATTTCCAGCTGGAAGGGCCAGCGTGAGCTCAGATCAGACTGTCGCATCTGGGGTACGAGCGGCCGACGGCACACTCTCTCCCCAGAAACACAGCGGTTCTGGAACGTGGTGGGAACGAGCTATTTTCAAGGCGGAATGGCTGTAATAACCAAAAGAATGTCAGCACACAGCCCCTTTTGATAAAAGTGCCGGGGTCACTTTTGCAAGCTGTTTTGATAGTATGGAGGTAATTGACAATTGTTCAATAGATTTTGGTGTTTTGTTTTGTTTTTACTATGGATATAATTTTACGTATTTATTTATTTTTCAATTTTTATTAATTTATTTTTGTTACAGATGTTTCTCTCCCCCTCTCAGACACCCTCCTCTCCATCCCGCCCCCCACCCCCCTGCATTGTTGTCTGTGCTGGTTTTGTTGACCTAAAAGATTCTGCACCTGGGTCCCTTCACGCACTGGTCGTCCACGCACGCTGCCTGGACCCGCACCTTCGGGCCAGCTCTGCGGGGACACTTTGGGCATGGGCTCAAGTCAAGCCCCACCCTCTGTCAAGGAGTGATTTTAAGGCACGGCTGGCCGTTAGCCAAGGAAATCTCAACTTGAAGGATCCCACATGGAGATTCATTTGCAGAAATGAAAGGAAAAGGAACCTATGAAATTAAGTCCAATATTTACACTTTCCATTTAATCCATGACTCTTAAACTGTCACTTAAAAAATATATATATATGTTTTTACTGATATTTTAGAGCGAGGAAGGAAGAAACACCGATCAGCTGCCCCCTGCACACCCGCTGCTGGGACTCGAGCCCACACTCCCGGCATGTGCCCTGACCAGGAGTCGAACCGGGACCTCTCCGTCCATGGGACGACGTTCAACCACTGAGCCACACTGGCTGGGCAAAAATGTCATTTCCTGTCCTGCTTCCTTCCCTCACTCCCAACTCAGACTGATATTAATATGTCTGTGAAGAAGCAAGATTCCTGTCAAGTGTAGTTGGCATGCAATCTTATACTGGCAATATTAGGGTCAGGGGTACGGCACAGTGACTTGACATGATTATCACTTTCAATGGAGCCCCCCACCGATTCTAGTCCCCACCTGTCACTGTGCACACGTATCAGTGTCACAGACTATGTCCCCTGATGCCTTTTACCCCCCGAGCCCCGCCACCATTCCTCTGGTCTGTTTCTGTTTTGTTTGGTTCTTTCATTTTCTCTTTCTGATCCCACCTAGAAGTGAACCCAGGGACTGTGTCTTCTGTCCCTTGCTTGACTGATGAAAGCCAGACGTAAATAGGTCGTCTCTCACCGGCCCCAGGCTCTCGAGGTGGGTCTCGGCTAGGGCCGCAGTCAGCTGGGGCGGCTGGTCAATGGAAGTGTTCCGGGTGTCACGGCATCTCCTGAGAGGTGACGGCCAGGGAACAGCAGACCCCGCCGTCACGGGCGAGCCAGGTCACAGCCTGGACAGACAGCTGATAAGCCAGCGTTTCTTTAGAAGAAACACGTACTGACAGTGGAACACCAGACAGGTGGAGCACACGCTGTACAGGAGGGGTTCCTGGGCCACCCCTGTTGCGTGGACACGGAGAAATAGAAGGGTTTCCAGTCCTGGCCCGTGAGCCACGAAGTGGCAGGGATGTGGGTG